TGGGGGAGTGATTTGGGTCTTGCCTACTGGTTCGGTTCTGCCCCCTTACAGTTCTGTTCTGGCTCTGTTCTCACAGGCTGGTGGTTGATGTAAACGGCGACTAATCCCTTTTATAGGTGACAAAAACAAAACACAAATGAGGGCTTTGTCAAGGGCACCTAATGGGGACATTTAGGAATACAGGCTTCCTACAGATTCCTCTGATAAAACAGGAAAACTGTATTCCTTTCTACCCCATGTCTTGAAGCCTTTATGCCCCAGGTGGAGGGCGAAGGATGAGTGCTCGCTTCTGGAGGGGTGGAGGGGCCATCGACTGAGACAGGGAAGGCTGAGGGAGGAGAAGGACACGATGATGTTGTGGAGACCATGGGAGAAAGTGGCCTGAGGAGTGTGGAGTACGTGGCTGAGACAGCGCTGGTGACAGGGTCAGTGTGGGACGACTGAGAACTGATCGGACACCATGGAGGTCACTGCCCTGATGAAAGCCAGGAGTGGCGGTGTGATGGGGATGACAGGCTGTTGGCAGCGGACTCAAGAGAGAAAACAAGGAGCTATGGAAACCGGGAGAAATGGGGTGAAGGCTTAGAGAGATGAAGGGTGGGGGGAATCGCTTCTTAGCCGGGAAGCAGAGTGTGTTCATGTACCGATGGGAGTCTTCAGACACTCTCTCCCTCCCAAAGGAATTGAGCGCCGTCTTGTTCTTCCCCCAGCCTCTCCCCCTCAGAAAGCGGTAAGTTGATTCTTTCAGACGCTCGGGCCAGAATCTCCGAGTCCTCCTTGCTGCCTCTCTCTCCCTCACACTCCACGGTCACCTCTCTGTGGAATCCATCATCTCTGCCTTCAGAGTATGAGTAGAATTTGATTACTTTCTACCACCACCACCTTTCTACCCTGATACAGCCCTGACACCTCTTGCCACGATGACCGCCTTAGACCTGGATGTTTGCTTCTGTTAAAAACACTCAGATCATGCCATTTCTCACCTCAGAACCTTCAAACGCCTTCTCGCCTCAGAGCAAAAGGCGACATCGGAGATGACCTATGAGACCACATGTGACGGGAACCGTTCCCCCGCTCCCCACTGACCTTGACCACGTCAGCCTCACCCCGTCCTTGTTACATGCACATGCCAAGCGCGCTCCTGCCTCAGGACCGTTTGCACGTGCTGCATTTCCTGGCTAGAACCCTCTTCCCCTACGTGTCCATATCACCCCCTCCCTCGCTCCTTCATGCCTCTGCTACAATGTCGCCTTTTCAAGACACCTGCCATGAACGCCCTCTCTAACGGCACTTTCTCCATCGCCTCTCTTTCTTGGCTTTACGTTCTGTCTCAGTACTTCTCGCCACCGAATATATTACATATTTATTTTTTTTTTTTTTTTTTTTGGTTCAGTATCTGCCTCTCCCTCATTAAAGTAAAGGAATTTAGTCTGTTTTGTTCGCACATCTCTAAGCCCAGAACCAAGATCAGTGCCTGACATCTACTAGGCACTCGATGAAGTTGCTTAGTGAATGAAGATGTCTCCCTATCCCCTTCCCACCACCCCCACCCCAAGAAGGAAAGACACAATGTCACTTAATGATTAAATGCGGTATGTGGCACAGACTCTTGGCTCAGGTGTGTGCCAAGATGTTCTGCAGAGTTAAATAATGTCATGCCAAATATAACTAAGAGCAAGTAGAGAAAGAAATGACAAGATATACACAAGGGAGAAGAGGATCTGTTTTTAGCCAAAGCCTAAAATAAGAGTGTAGTGATGAGGCAAAGAGGTAGGAACAGGTAGGGGGCAGGCAAAGCGGCTCCCCTCCCCGGATGCAAAGCAAAAAGGGAAAGGTGAAGAGGGCTTTGGGCCTTGGGGCATCTGAGGGAAATGGGGACCAATGGCTGGGGACAGAGAGATAATTAACAGCTACAAACAAGTGTCCCCTGTGACCCCAGGAACTCTAAAACAAGGCTTTCACAAGGACATTACAATGTCAGTTTTCTGAATCGTGGTGGAATGAGCTCCTGGGAGAAAGCAGTTTAACATTAATATTTCTTAATATGATCTATTTATTATTTATTAATGGAATTAGGTTATTAATATACTTAATATAAAATATTCATGTTACTATAAGTAATAAAATAGTGGTGACATTTATTGATGTGAACGCCCTCAAAGGACAGTGACGCTAACTCTGGGAGGAGCACCGAGCGCTGACAAGCGGGTCTCGGGCCTGGGGCTCGGGAATCCTGCACACTTGCCCCTGCTCCGCATCCAAGCGGCTCTGTGATGCTAGGCTGGCTTCTTAACCTCTTCGCGCTGGCATCCTTAGCCATAAATACCATGATCCCTAAGTTACATACAGGTCCAGAATTCTGAGTTTGTGATTTTACACCTTCCAACGGTGATAATCAGATACAAGGCCTGAGGCCTACCAAGAAATATAGGCCCTTCAAAGGACAATCAGGCATCCATGGAACCACAAAGGGACATTGCAAGGATCCAGTCAGCTCGCCCATGAGAAACACTTAGAGCAGTGCCTGGCACAGAGTGCGCTCTCAACAAACGGGTGGTTTTGTTCATTTGTGGGTTCATTCATTTATTTATTCATTAAGCCCTGCAACTTCCCCTAGAGGCAGGGATGGGAGATGAAGTCTTTGACTATAAGTAGTTTATGACTATATCAGAACGCAAGGTAGAAGTAAGGGCACCGATAATGTGATACAGCCCCACACACAGCACTTAAGTCAGATAACTTCAAGGAAGTGTAGAAGCACATGAGTCTCATCAAGGGAAATTTACCAGAATAATAATGTTTTCACTTTCTGCGAGAACCTGACAGGCAATATGCCCTCGTTTTGCACATAAGAAATTATAAACAATCAGATCAGACAAAATTAAAAAAAAATTAGGCAAGCCTTTTTTTATATTAGCAGTTACTCTGTACACAGAGTACTTTTGCAACTCTTTGTGCTTTTTAAAACATATTTGTCAGTTTTTCCAAACCTTTTTCTCCTATTTTTCTTCAAAATTCAGCCTATTACCCCTGCCTTGATTACAATCTTTATAAAATTTTATGTAAACTCAGATCTCATTTTCCAGGAAAAATAATATACAAATAAATGCATAGGAAGGATTTAGAAAGATGTATAACGAAGTGTTACTAGTGATTTTCTCTGGAAAGAGAAGATTATGGATACTCTTTATGTTCTTCTGTCAGTCTGTACTTCTTGAGATTTCCATAATGAGCACAGTTTATTTGTGCAATAAACTTAAATAAGTAAATCTATGTAAAAGGAAGACATGGAATTTTTTTTGTACCCTTTTAAAACTTGTCATTCATTTTCAGCCAACTCAGTAACTGCTCTATATGACTTTCCCTTTTCTGCATAGACAAAAATGATTAAAGATGCTTAAAGAGTCGTAAAATTGTCCTCTGGTGCACCAGCATTTCCGACACTGGAAGAAGAGCATCATTGTCACATCATCCAGTTTTCTGCTTTGCAAAGGAGACACTGCCTTCCTGCCTAAGAAGATTGGATTTTTATTGTGAAGTCCCTTTTCTAAGTCTCGGGTTTTTTTGTTTGTTTGTTTGTTCTAATGGAGCTTTCAAAACAGACACAACCCACTTGTACACATGCATCTGTGCTTTCCTAGAACAGGGACCAGTAAGAAAACGTCAGAAGATCTCTGCTTTCCACTGTCATTATCTTCAAGAGGAGGAGTGTAAACGGAACCAGGTGCACATTGACCATCTCACACGAAGGTGACCGACAGGGCTCAACTCCCACCTCGAGGACGGGCGCTTCCGTTCATAACCCCGGTAACAGCAGTGGAGCGCGCTCGGTCATTCACATGCATTTTTTTCCTACTGTAAAACATGTTTCAATATTTTTAAACATTATAAAAATGAACAAACAAACAAACAAAAAGTGGCTTGGTTTAAGATGCTTTCTACGTCTGGGTTAAGAGACCAAACTGGATTTAACCAGGATTGAACCTGTGACTCTGGCCCCATATTCTCTAATAACCCATAGCAGCGATGGGGTCATATGAGCATTTCTGAGACATCGTCCGTCCCTCAGTTATTTTCTGGTTGATAAAAGTCAAGAATTTTCTCACATCTACAGTCACATGCTCCTCACACGCTATTTTTTTTCCCTCCCCACCAGGGTATGCGCCTCCCTACTTTCCAAAGTGCTCATAACCCCGTCACCTCCATTGACAAAACACAAATAGTATTTTTCTCTCTCTTTGTGAATGCTAAGAAACAGCGGTCTAGAAAGTTCAACTCTGCAATGATTCCTCTACCTAATAACTTTTTAAAACTATTCTCTTAAACATGTCATGATGTGATTTAATGAAGTCTTAACTGAGTGAAAAATACACTTAGCTTCCCAGGATATTTATTGAAATAAGTGTAGTTCATTAAAACACACAAGATATAAAATAAGCCTAACTAAAAAGGAATTTCTCTTTAGTATTTCCTCCCATCATCCTTTTGTGCATTGTCAATTAAAATCTTTCCTGTGGCAGGACCACACTGAGTCAGGTGAATGAAGAGGAAAGTAAACAGGACAAGATATAGGCGAATTGTATACAATACAGAAAAATCCTAAAGCACTGCAGTTGGAGAGGAGAACTTGGGGAGAATAAACATGGTGACTAGGACCTCCGAAGATGCTGTATTCCCTGGGAAGAGGAAAATCTGGGGGTGTCGGTGGGGGGGTCTGTGTGTCTAGCAGTCTTGGAGAAGCTTCTGACAAACAGCACACCGGAAGTGGCTCTCCCCTTTTACGTCCATTAAAAGCCCCTTCTCTTTCTCTGACACATCCTCGTGGCCCCTCTTCACCTACACGGCCCTCGAGACTCCCATGCAGAGCGCTGGAAAGTGGTGACAGTCCTCCCCTGTCTAGTCCCAGTTCTGCCACTGCGTGACCTTGGGCAGGTCATCCAACCACTGTGGACGTTGTTTTCTTATTTAGTGGCAGGCTGGACCTGACAACCTTCATTCCAACCCCAGCGTCTGCGGTGTGGAGCTGACCCCCTGAGGACTCCAGGTGGGTGGGGTCTGCTTGTGAAGAAGGCCCAGGCGGAGCCTAGCAGATGCGGGCTATGCTTTCTTAGATGGAGAACCACTCGGTCATCTTCATCTCTGTTCTAGCTTTGTCCTCCCTCTATCCTATAGCAGAGCCTCCACTTCCATCCCACCCAAGCGCTCCCTTAGGTGGAATTGTGAACACATTCTTATCCGGAGCATATGCCTCAAATTCCTCCCTAATGATCTTCCGTAGGAAGCCCTTGCACTGCCATTTATTTCTAGGCTGTTATTAAACCATTTGGACCGTTCTATCTCATTACAATGCACTGCCCTGTGCTTATTTAGTTCTTCAGTGCTGAAGGATGGAAACCCTTAATGGCCATTAGCTTCCTCCTTCAGCAGCAGGAGATGGATGGAACAAAAATGAAACTTAAGGTCAAATCCAGCCTGTTACCTCTAGAAACAAGGGGCTTCAGGAGCTGTGTGATCACTCGGCATCCAGGAGAGTCCCTACAGAAGCGTAGAAAACCTGAGCTGCAGAGTACTCTCCGGAGTTGAGGGTCCCCTGGCCCAGGAACGGGGCAAGTAGCAGGGAAGACTGCACATCGAGGGGCGGGCACAGCGAGCCGTCTTGGTGCAGGGCCTCTGAACATGACTTAAAACCACCAGACTGCATCCTCCATCCTGGCATTCCCTGCCACCCAAGCAATCTCATTATGATCTGAGCACTCGCAGAGTTTGACTATGGGAGGAGAGTGTACAGGTGGTCAAACCGCTTGCTGTAAAGTAATAAAGGAGCATACAGGTTGGTGCGTTCGGTTAATGTGACCCTCCCAAGGGAGGGCACCCCTCACTGTGTGCCTATAAATGAGGTTTCTGAGTCTGTGGGTCTGGGACGTCAGGTCCTAAAGGCAGGAGAACCATATGGTCACCTCAAAAACCCCAACACGGACCATGGTGATGCATCAAAATAATGTCACTTAGGGAGGCCTAACGGAAGACAGCTTGGCAAAACGTTCTGGAGACCCAGAGGTAACTCAGATTCTCTCGCATTCTGATGTTAGACATTGATGCAGCGTTTACAGCTCATCAGACAAGTGAAGACTCATCTGTAATAAGCACTACTCACACAGTGCACACCATTAGCATTCTCAGCTTCTTAGATTCCATCCATTCTCTTAGGTTAAAAAACCAAGCTGCTTGAATCTAAAGTAGGCTGTATGCTTTATTCTTTGCAGTCCAGCCTGCGTTATTGTACCGTGATTTTTCATAAGCCCCCGCACCTGTACACAGTGTCACAGTTCATGCAAGACTTTCATATCTGTCTTATCACTTGGTCCTTACAATCCATCAAGATGGGCTCTACCGTCCTCATTTATATTCGTAGAAACTGAGACTGAGGAATGTCCTTGGAACTGTCAAGCTCACACGTTAGCAAGTTGCCGAGCTGGATCTTGGCCTCCTACTATTCTGTGTCATGTCATCTGACCTGGATGTGGATTTACTATGTTGCTTCTCTAAAGCATCGGGACATAATGAGTTAATTTTTCTGGAAGCTTTTAACTTAAATATAGAAACAGCTAACTTATCAGGCCTGGAATCACATCATGTCATTCCCAGGGCTTGATCTCTCCAACACTGTAGCAATCTAACCACAGAATATTCTACCCACAATTGATAGGAGCAAAGTACGATCTCTCTTCTTCTTCAAAAAAAAGCACACTCCTTGGAAACTCAACTACGAGCCCATTTATATTCTGTCGCACAGGCTGACAGCCTCTGGAAGCCTGCCGTGGGAGACACAGGGAAGTGGACTGTGCACACGGCCTTCCGTGCCAAAGGGGACATTCCCTTGCCAATGGCTCAGCCTGTGCTGCATTCTGGCAAGGGGCCACTGTGACTGGAACTCTACGGTCAGATGAGACATCAGGGCTTAGCAACCTTTCCCATTGCTAAATAATGCTCTTTGGGGACTATCCGAGGCCAACTGCACAGGGAGAAGAGAAAGAAACAAAAGAAACAATGGGTAATCAGAAGTAGATGAAGGGGGTGGGATGGGAGGTGAACGACATCAAGTATGGGAGGAACCGTAGTCGAAAAGAGGTGCAGATAAGGAGAAAATCTTCCCTGTCACTTAAAGCCACTGTTTAATACCATCAGCATTTCCCAAGGTGTATTATTAATAGGTTTCCATTTAAAAAATAGACTGGGGAGAGTATACAGAGGTCAGAGATCATATCCTCCCCAAATCTGTACCGTTAGAACATTTTGTAGAACTAGTATCTAGTAGGACAGTTTGGAAAACACCACTCCTAGTCCCTCAGAGAGCCTACAAGAGTTTCTCCGAACTCCTCCTTAAGCTTCCCACCTCCATGTTACAAGATTCCTTTGAGGCTTGTCCATCAAACCAGATGGCCAGTGGTCTACATGCGACCAGCCTGCTGAGCCTACCCAGCCCTGGCTGCTTCCGAGGTACTAGGCCCAAGTACAGGTTCAGCGCAGCCGCCCTCTGGTTGGTTGTACATGGGCTGTGCCAATGGCTCGCCTAAGTCTAGCTGGCATCGGGTTGGGTTCAAATAGCCCCAGGGGGAAGTGTGGTCTGCTAGAGGGATTTATAAAAATACAGACCTGTGAGGGTACGCAGGTCATTTTAAAAATTTTCAAGATTGAGTTTTAATGTTTTGCATTCGTCATCTCTGCATGTTCCATCGGTGGCTGGCGGCCTTGGGGTGAACTGTCAAACTTGGTGATACACTTGCCTGTATCCAACATGGCTCTCTTTGTGTCTTTCCCACTTCTCCTCCTACACCTTATTTTTGGTGCTACATGTGGCCCTGAAATGTTACTGCCTATCAGTGATCCTGGGCCAGCACACAGGGGTATCCGGCCACCTCCCACGTCACAGGAGGGTGGCTACAGGGGGGTGCCAGGGAAGGCATGCATAAGGAAGAGAAGGATGTTGGGGTCCCGATTTTCACAGGAAACAAGGCCCTCCCTGCCAGTTGGCCCAGCACCTACCTGACACTCCACATTGCAGTAAAATGCCTGCTTGCATCTTCCACATTTGGACAATCCTTCTTTCCTTAAAAACAGAAAGGGCACTGTAGTGGCGAGAGGCACAGAAACGTGAAGCCGCACATTTTATCACACAATCATCAGCGCCATCTGGTCGGAAAGCAGAGCCAAGATTCACCTCACCTCACTCTCCCGCTGATAAGTGGCTTTTTCCCAAAGGAGATTTTGACCAGATTCAGTCCTTGAGTAGGTGTGAGTTAGTCAAACAGTACACACTCCGATATTTACCAACCCTGACAGCATGAGGGGCACTTTCTGGAGATCAGTGACATGCTCTTTGACTCATGAGCCTGGCTTGGGACACTGCAGCTGTTAGCATCCCCCACACCATGACTCAGTGGTCTGGGGCCAGGCAAAGGCCCTTGGGTCCTGCCTTCCTTACCGCTAAAGAGGGACAGAAATAAACAAAACCCTTTGGGAGGTTTGACGTCATAAAGACAGAGGACTGGGGTACACATTACTTAGAGACGCAAGTAATACAGAAGATAGGCTTGGGTATGGCAGTCATTCAAATGTCCAGAAAGCTAAGGGGAAAAATAATGCAACCCAGCAAGCGGGGACATATTCTTGAATAAAATATAATTGGATATGATTAGTATACACACCCATCTTCTCAGTGTGCTGTTGAGTAATTCTTCTGCCTCTTCATAATTAGATCAATATGCCCTGTGTACGGCCATGTTTTTGCTTCCCATAAAGGACAGGGATGTTTTTTTCCAACTGTTAGGTGTGAGTGTGTTTGTTGTGTTAGATAAGCCAAAGCTTTTTTTTTAAAAAAAAAAAAACAAAAAAAAAAAACCTGTGAAGCCATTGAATTAAACCACACATGACAGAACTCTTATTTAAAAATTGTTCTGAGGCACGGGACAACCACATTGTTTTAATCAGACCACTATCTGCAAAGCCTGCTGTCTAATTCTCACCTGTGGCCCTGAAGCCAGCTTTCTGACCTGCAGAGATGCCGACACCAAGAGGGACATTCTGCTGCTGCCAGGGGTGCTGCACTGCAGTGCAGCCACCTCCCCGCCACCCCTTCCGCAGCCCGCCCGGGGGAGCTGGTATTTTAGAATCTGCATAGAATCACACTGCAGAGTCCTCCTCTGCTCCTTGTCAGTCAGCGATAGTCACCACACTACTCCTACGGAATCCAGGATATGTGCCAAAAATGCTACTGTTGGAAGGAACCAGGCCGCCTTGCCGTTTTCGCGACAGCGCTTGGCTTCCAAGAAGCTGCTTGAAGAATGTGTGGGAGAAAAACACGTCTTATGGTTGAGGCATAAATAAATATTCCAAGTTTGCACATCTCAATAGTTCACAAAGGAACCCACGGATTTAGCTGAGTGTATTCTCTGGCCTAAAATAGCCCCATGGGTGCATCTCAAGGGCTCCAGACTCTGGCTTTGCATTTTGGAATATAAAAGAAATGAGATCCATGGTCCCTGCTCTCTTACATTTTCTAGTGAGGGAAAAGGGACAGAGGTACCCTCAAAAAACTGACGTGACGGTTAAGCGAGTGCAAAGTGATGTGGACCGTGAAGGATGCCCAGGGGATGGAGAGTAAAGATGGGCCAAGCCAGGGAGGGAACTTTCAAAATTCTTTTCAACGAAAGGTGTGTTTGCAAATGGACACGGAGTGGGCAGATGACACCCCATAAAAATGTCTCCCTTAACCTGGCATTTGTTAATGTTTGTTTCTGCAAAGGGGGAGGTTGCAGAAATGCTGAGAATTTGACTGAGGCTATTTGCTCTTCCCAGCAACCCATCTTCTCCCTAACCTCCAGAAAACAACAGAAAATTCTGTAAAATTTCAAGGACTCATGAGCCCAAAGTCTATACATGAACCACTGAAGAGCCTCTGAAACCAGAGTGAAGACTCCCGATATAAAAGATTAGGAAATTATCAGAAAAATATCTTTATTAGCTCTACACCATACCAAAAAAAAAAAAAAAAACAAAAAAAAAAAAGGCAAGGATTATATAGGTCTTCCCGCACAGATGCCAACAGTAAAGTTAATATGAAACCAAGGTTTGTTTTCAGCTTCAAGCTAACACCCCAGGGAGAGAAAAGGCAACTAGGCTCTGGTGAGCTAGGCAGGAACACTAGTGGTATTTCATCAAAATAATAATTCTCTCAAAGGCAAGGCTGCATTCAACCCAGCCAGTCACCAAGTCCACAAGCCGCAAAGAAGAATAGGAGGAAAAAGGCAACTTTCGAGTGCTGGCAATACGTCACATCACGTCTACTATCAATGCCAATGGTTTGTGAGTTGTGCTCTGTAGACGGCTGGGGTCCTAGAGACCCTTTCAGGGAGCTGGTAAGGTCAAACCGTTTTCAGAATATTACCACTGTCTTGACACCTGCGCTGCAGGACGGGTAAGGCGTAAAGGTGCCCGGAGGGGAAAACTTCCGGTGTCTTCGTACAAATTAAAACACTGGCACCAAAACGTCCACGTGGTCACTGTGTTCTCCACTTCCACATGCTCATAGCGAAGGGGGAAGAGCCGGTTTCACTTAAGCATGTCTCTGATGAAGCAGTAACAAATATTAATTTTATTACATCTTGACTCTTTGGTATGTATCCTTCTGATATTGTGATGAAGTGGGAAGAAGGCACAGTTCTGCTGTATACTGACGTATGATGGCTGTCTCAGGGGATGGCACTCGGGGATCATGGGAGTTATAAACCACTAGCTACTTTTCTTTTTCCTGGAATACTATTTTTACTTGAAAGAACAACTTTAGACAAGCTGTGGTTACTCGAACTTGATTATCAGCAAATGTTATTGAAATGAATCAAGTGAACCCATTCCTTCAAGGAAAACAATTGCCAAATTCGCTGCCAATGATAAAGACCGGTGGTGATATTAACAATTGATTGTTTTGATATGGTTTGACGAAATGAGTTTTCTTTGAGGTCTATCTTATTCCATGAACCTATATTTTCCAAATGACCAGTGTGCGATGTTTTTAAAATTATGCATGGCTAAAAGAAAGAGTCATTCAAAGGGCACGACAGACCAAGGGATTTTAATATAAGAGTATATGAAGTTTATAGATATGGCTACAGATTTTATATGACGAGTAACTTTTAAGACACTATCACTTATTGATTTTAAGTGTTGAATCAAAGAATATCCACAATTAACTGAAAAGGCTATTAAAACACTCTTCCCTTTCCAATTACATAGCCAATTAAGGCCACATTTTTCTCCACATATTTCAACCCAAACTACATAATCAGATTGAATTCAGAAGCATATCTGGGAATCCAGTTGTCTTCTGGAAATCCAGACATTAAAGAGGTTTGAAAAACTAAAACTGTAAAACAATACCACGATTCTCACTAATTCTTTTGTTTTAGAAGATAGTTCTCATTAAAGAAAAAAGAAAACGTTATGTTAACAGTAATGGTTGCTGTCATTTTTAAATGAATACTTTATAATTTTCTGTTTTAAATTCAAATATGGTAAATATTGATAAATATTAACCCATGTGAACAAAAGCTCTTTCGAATTCTCAATTTTTAAGAGTATAGAGGGGTCAAAGACCAAAACGTTCAAAAACTGCTAATCTTCCTTAATAATTCCATCAGCTCCATAAAGAAGTCATTCCTACTTTTCAAATGAAGATAATGAGGATTCTGAAGGTGAGATATCCAACCCAACATGGTCATTCAACAAGTAGGCAGCAGAATCAGAATTTGCACATCAAGGTGCACATTTTGTCTTCGTCATGCACGAATATCCTTCCTTGAGTACAGTTATCCAAGACGATATGCTACACAAAGCACAAACAATCTATGCGTTTGGATAAGCCAACAGCAGAAACAAAGCGTAAGTAAAGGCATCCTTTCCTCTGGTCTGCATCATGTCCTGGTCCAATGGTATCCCGTTAATGTTTCTTTACTTCGAAGATGCGAGGGGCGGGGGATCATTTTTCAACCTGAGATTTGGGGAGAGAGAACCTCCACAAAGAGGTTCCCTCAACCAACTGTGAGGCAGAAATGGATTTCGCTTGCTGTAGGTTGTAATAAAATAAGCACTGATTTTTGTATTTAGTCTGTGCAAAGAAGGTCCCTCCCTCTCATTCGCTGTGGTAAAGCTAAGTGCCCCTCAGACAGACACTGGGCGAGTCCACACTGGATCACGTCCTCTGTGACCTGGGTGACAGAGCGCTACTGTGTCCAGGTCGACTAACTGTATATAGGCTTATGGAGTCAACTACCTGGTTACGCGTGAATGCTCTGAATGGAGACCACCTCCCCACTCCACATCCAGCTGCCTTCAGAGCAGAGAAGGAGAAAAGCTGAACTAGTTACTGATAGATAGCTAACGGCATAAGAATCTACTCTGTTATGAGCAATTCCAGATGAGGTGGGTGGGGTGGGAGAGGGAACTCTGTTTAAATTACGGGTGCACACTTTGGTTCTTTCCATAGCTAGGGAGAGATGTAAACTTTTCATAAGTCTGATGGTTGAAACGCAAACTAAAATGTGCTGAGCTGCACTGTGTGTGCATGTGCTGGAGAGAGAAAGAAGAACACGGAGGGTTTGATGACTGCTGACTGAGAAGTTTAGCCAGACAGAAACCTCATATGGGAGATCCATTTGCACTGCGGGACTATATAAGGCATTTGGAATAAACTCTGTTTCTACAGAAGACACAGTCGTTAAGTCTTTCTTTTGCAGTGTAACCTGATCGGAATTGCCCAGGAGGTTTGGGGAAAGACCACAAAACAAAGAAAACAAAATTCCCCTCAAAGAAAGATTCATAAAGGTCGCTTGGAGGAAGGAACTGAAATATGAAATAACTCAAAAAGGAATAGAACTCAAAGAAAGTGAAGAGTGAATCACTAATAACTTCTCAGTGTCACAACCTTGGGTGAACGTGCCCTTCGGGGCCTGGGGTAGGACCCAGCAATTCTCCTTTGATTGGTCTGTGTTGGGAATTTTAGAAATCTCCCTGGAAATTCTAATGTGCTTCCAGAATGCCTAGGCCTACGGAAATCCATTTGAGTTGAGTGGTTTTTTTGAGGGCGGAATCTGCTGAATAGTGTTGAAGCATTCTTCTCTGCCATGCAGATTTCTTACACTAACCTGTCTTAAGGATGAATGTCATGGACAGGGACAATAGACTAGTGTGGTTACCAGAGGGGAGGAGGAGAGGAGGGAGGGGGGAGGTAGATGGGATAAAA